AAAATCTTCCTCCCCAGTCCTCCCTTCTCTCCTTTTCCCACTATTTCTTCCGGCTTGGAGGCTCCGCATTCCCTCCCTGCAGCCACTGGGGATTTTCAGGGTCCAGGAGCCTCCTAGCCAAAGCCATTCTGAGAATCCTAATTGCTTTTATGGAGTTGGTACAGGCGTGAGAGAGGAAGAAAAGGGAAACCAGATGGAAAGCAATGCTACTGGGATGTCATAGCTCCTAGGGCCAGAGGTGCAACAAACACAGAATGAGCTGTTCCCTAGAAACAACAATCTAAATGATAGCATAAGGTTCAAGTGTGCTTTTGTGGCTGGTACATGGTTTCTTTATGAAACTGTGTTGAGGTCTAAGCAACCAGTTTACAATTGAATTTTGAGAACACAGTCTACTTATGGTTGTGGATGGCCAGTAATATAATTATTTAGATTAGTACAAAAATTAACTGCCTTCTCTATATCACACTTGTTTTCACTTAGTATGATCATGATTACTTTGCAGGCACATTCTTAAACAAAGATATCATTAAAGGTTCACAAGCATTTTCGTTTTTCACATTGTATAAATATCTCAATCCAATTTTTCCATTCCTATCTTTATCCCTGTAGCCATGTACATACACCCTTATTACACACATCACTAAGGGGCTGTGGAATGGGGAAATCCATATCTAAATACTTTTAGGATTTGACCCAGAACACATTTTTTTAATGGTAATTTAATCAAAAGACAGCTAAAAGGAAATGCATTTCCTTTTAGTTTTCTTACCTTTTGCTTTTATTTTTCTAACTCATTTATTTGGGGGTGCTTATTTATAATGCTAAAAGTGTTGATTTTATGTAAAAGTTATCCAAGGTCTCCACACATGGATTCGACAGTTTAGCAATTGATTTGCATTAGATATATTACTCCTAAAGCATAACCTAAACACAAAAATAATTTTAAAATATTGAAAGTGCAGATCAGTGGAGAAAAGAATTTTAGTTGTGTACCTTCAGGTATATCTGTTAATGAAAAAGAATGAATACATGAATGAATGAATAAACTAGAGCTATGTCTAGAAGAATAGTGAAATGGCTGGATGCTAAATACTTTCCATCAACTGGAACTTCTTAATGACATGCTCTCCTGGGCATAAAAGAATCAAGAGTATCTCTTGGCTCCCTTCTACTATTTCCTGGTGTGCTGCTCCCAAGAATGCCCTGGCCGCCATTTCCACCTGGGGAGTAGCCAGGGGAAAGACCAGCTGCTCATATTTATATTTGCACAGCTATGACTCCCATATCCAATTTTGGCTCCTTTCTCCTATTTCTCTACACTCAGGGAGAGGATGTCAAGTATATATGCCCTGCTCAGACACCACCCTTGGCTCAGACCCTATTTTGGTACCATCTGCTTGGGGACATAGAGGATAATAATAAGAGCTCCTACTTATTGAGTGCCTGCTGTGAACTAAGTATTTACATATCTAATTTCAAATTCTCATGCCATCCTGCAAGGACCCATTTTTATAGATCTAGAAAGTAGAGCTCAGAAAAGTTAAGAAACCTCTCCAAGGTTATCTGATGCAGGATTTATACTTGGGCCTTTCCTCTTTGCCGTCAGTGGAAGGAAGACACTTTTCTTTCCTCAGAAAAATATGTTAGCATTTTCTTTGATTGACTCTCCACTTTCCATAACAGCCCTCCCTGGAGAGCTGCTCTCCCACTCTCATCCCAGGCTGGTGTCCTGAAGTTCCCACAATGATTTGGCCCTTACATTGAATTTTCTGGCTTTTTGTCTGTTAGACTCAACTGATATCTTAAAATAATCTGATTAGTACTTAATAATGTTGGCAGGTTAGAATCATATTTTAAAAGGGAAAGTATATTGAAGCACTTAACTTTCTGAATTCACTCATTGAGAGTACGTATTTTTTTCCCATGTTATACAGAGAAACTGGACAATGAAATGACCACCTGTTCGCTGCTAATGATGTTCACATGCCTTTAAAAAAAAAGTAATTCTGGCTTTATCTGTCTACAATCTTGGCGACAAAACTCGTGGGAACATCAAGGGCACAGGAAGCCAAAGGCAGCAAACTGACAATAAAGTTTGTGCTTCAACTACTAATAAGGAAGGAGATACTGTGAATCTTTAATTCCACATAATTATTTAATCTCAAGAGGGTAAACATAAAACCAAATGCATGTTTTAAAAACCTAAGTTTCGGTGTTCAAGTGTGGGACTGAGTTCAGAGGGGTTTCACACAGCGTATTTCCTACTTGAAAAAATATTTTAAAAAGCATCAAATGTAAAATATGCCAATCACTATTTCAAATATATAGTCTAATTTGATATTGTGTGGGTGGGTCAATGATTATGCCTTTCAAATGAAAATGAATACATAAATACTGAATAAGCAATTCAAAGTAATAGATGGATATTAATCATATCCTATGTTGCAAAAATATACTAGCCCTAAAAAAGGCTTATAACTAAAAATATCCACCAAAATGCAGAAAAGAGTATTTTCTAAAATTAGTGCTAGCATTAAAGATTAAATGACCCTTTTATTTTAATAATGAAATCAAAGTCCAAAGACAACATCTGGTTTTAATTCTTTGGCTAATATGTTTTTGGGTGCCTGCTGATTTCTATGGATCTCATTTTTAATGTAATATTATTTCCATCCAAGTCCAACATTGATACAAATTAAGTTTACTTTTCATTTGTTCACTTCACTATAGTGTAATGGTTAAAAGCACAGGTTCTGAAATCAGATTGCTTGGGTTTGAAACTTGTCTCCATAACTTGACTTTGTACCAGTTGCCTTAATTCTCTGTGCCTCAGTTTCCTCATCTATGAAACAGGGTTAATAATAGTTCCTACCTCATTGGGTTAGTGGGAGGATTGAGTAAGTCAATATGAGATAAGTACTTAGAACAATGCCTAGTGAACAGTAAGTGCTCAGTATTTGATAGCTACCATTATTTTTTAACTGCAAAGGAAAAGGTAAATATGAGGTCATTATACAGTTAGGTACATTTGGAAATTAATAGATTAAATCATATGTCTCTTCCCTTGTCTTTAGGCAGGATTTAAATTAAGCCCAATATAGACAAATAATTGTCTTTCCCAATTAAAAATAAATTCTAAAGAGGAGTAGCCGGTATTCTATCTGTAGGAATTTTTTCTTCTGATATCATCCTAAAACATTTCAAGTGACTATTGCTGAACACAGAATTCATTTTGCCTCCATGTTTCTCAAACATACTTTTATAAACCTTTGTTTTCTCCCAAGTTTCAGGCTTTAGAAGCGTGTCAAGGTCTCCTCCAAACCAGCAATTATTTCTGAGATTCCAGATCTACTGATCATTGCCTCATACATCCTTTCATATCTACTATAAAATGTTTATATAATTAACATTAACTACATACTCACAGCTGAATTCTAATGCTAAAATCTTACCTTATGTCTGATCCCATATGGAGTAAAAGGGGACAATGACCAGGAATTAAAGGGAAATGTTCAAATGAGATAACTACAAACTGTCCCATCATATCTTTTTAAATGACATTGATAACTCTTCACAACTTAATTTGCAAAGCACTATGCAGTTTAAGACATTAACACTGATAATTTTAAACTCCAACTTAACACAACTGGCTAACTAAATATGTGTCTAGCAGTTGTTGAGATTATAGTATGGTTCTTTGAATAATGACTCTTTTTAAATGACATTGATAACTCTTCACAACTTAATTTGCAAAGCATCATGCAGTTTAAGACATTAACACTGATAATTTTAAACTCCAACTTAACACAACTGGCTAACTAAATATGTGTCTAGTAGTGGTTGAGATTATAGCATGGTTCTTTGAATAATGACTTAATTTTGAAAGGGCGCTTCTACTCAAAGTTGTCATGATATTTCTAGATTTTTAGGCTCTCAATAATTTAGCTTTGTAAAATACGTTATTGTATACAAATAGCTTCCCCCTTCCTTGACATATGTGTGTGAGTATGCATGTATGTTTATATATACATATACATATATATAGTCTTCCCCAATGCACACAAATATATATATACACACATATAGTCATCTAGCATATATGCTTATGTACATGTCTAGATATTCTGTTAGCAGCCCTTCTCTACTTACTGAGTTCTCCTTAAATTCAAAAAGCTAGGATGTAACTACACTGATTTTTGGTCCGAGGGAAATGGCAGAAAAAATGGTGATTCAGAAGATTGGGAGTAGCTAGGTAGATGATCCAGGAAAGGTACTAAACTTTTTGAAACTTGGGGAAATTGATTTTCTCTGATTCCAGAGCTCTCTACTTGTTCTTTCAGGAGGTTGAGACTCAAACCAACTCTGTGAGATATGTGTGACACCTTTAATAACCCCCTTTTATGAGGAAAAAGCAGGTTGGGGAAGGTTGAGAGATATACTCAAGATCACTATACAAGTGGTGAGACTGGCCTTTTTTACTCCAAATTCATTTCTTTTAGAATATTAGAACTAGACATGACCTTGGAGAACATCTAATTTACATTCCACATTTCTAAATCTTTCTGGCGGTCTGAAAGTATGGAAAGTTGCATAGCCTGTTGGTTTAAGGTGCACCAAATGTGGTGGTCACTCATATACCTTTTAATGTATGGAAATCAAATAGTCAGCATACCAAGGTTTGGAGACGCTTGACATTTCCCACTCTTAAAATCAATCACCAATCTGAACACCATGGCTATTACTCAGAGACTCAGAGGTTTGCTGTCAGCAGAGACCATGACCTTGGAACAATTATTTTCTCAAAAGGCATTACCAACAATGACGCGAGCAAAGCGCCCAGACTGCCCTCCAGTGCATGAATCCCCGGCCAGGAAATGGCTACGAATCTTCCATGAGTAGTATGAGTTTGGCTCAAATCTCATTTCAATGCATTTATATTTCATAAGCACTGCATTTAGACAAAGTTAGAATGAGCAAGTCAAAAAAAAAATACTTACTTAAAGATTTTCTGTACTCTGGTTTCTGTTCTTTTGTATCACTATCATAGTGACTTAGTAATTCAGTACTGGAGGATCTCTGGATTTTGAATAATTCCAGATTTCTTGATGGACTGCTTGGATCCTTTGGCTGGAAATAACAAACAATTAGACTGAATAATTTTACAAGGAAGAAAGGATTCATCAAACAGTTTTGTGATCTAATTTAATCCTGGATTTAAAGGGAAGTTTGAAATAAGATAATTATTTTGGGATAAGGCCTCTATGCTAAGCTCAATATTCAAATTTGATACTAGCTTTACATGTACGGGGCTTCCTAAATCCTACCCATTACCCCAAGCACTCCACATGCATTAATTCAATTAATCATCACAGTAATGCTAGGAGGTAGATATTATTATTATTGTCCTTACATTCCAGACGAGGAAACTGAAGCCAAAAGCGATAAGTAATTTGCCTAAGGCCACACGGCTAGTAAGTGATAGGGGCAGGATTCAAACTCAGGCAGTTTGAGTCCAGAGTCCACTCTTAAGGACAACAAGAAAATCGATGTGTGTGTCTGTGTGTGGTGTGTGGGAGTGAGCACTCATGTGTGCCTTGATAAGGGAACTATATTGATTATGGAGAAAGTCAATTTGTTATTTTAGTTTTCAAAGTTCTAGTCCCAAAATGATGTAATGGAAGATTGCAATAAATAGCAATACAATCACACAGAAACTATTGTTTTCCTGCTGTATACTCTATTAAAAGCTCTCAAGAATAATGATTTTTGCAAATATTAGTGTCCTAAAATTAGATGTTTGATCTAGAATCAGTATAAAATGGGTGGCTGTAAATAATTTGACTCTTTTTAAAAACATTCTCTGAATGTCTGATTTAGGGTAATTTCATGAAGTTCTAAATATGTAATTTTCATGAGAAGAACAATCTAGCTTATCTGGAAGAACAATAAACATCAGTACAAAGGATTATTATTTACTGGTATTATAACAGTGAGTATGGGCTTAAATACATTGATATTAATTTTCAAGAATATGTATTACAGACTGCATAAATTGAAAATGTGAAAATTCGGTAGTTATTAAGCTCTTGTGTGCTTTTTACAGCCTCCAGTAAATGAATGTCTGTGTTATTTCAAAAAAAATAAAATGAATGCACTGTGTTTCTGAAAGAGAGAAATCAAAGGACATTTAGTTCCACAAATCATGTCTGCTGAAAAGGTTTTTAATGGACTCTAAACCTAAAATAACTTAATATCTCTCAATCCATAGGATCCATTTACATGCGTGTTATATGCCTAAGCAATAAGATTTAAATAACTACATTTTAATTAATAAAGGTAACAGCCAAAACAAATACATACCAATCTGTCAATTGCATTTTTGATAGCGTGGAACCAATCCAATATGATGAAGTCAATATCTGACTGTAGAAGGAACTCATTTCCTGAGACTGTGGTGATCTGGAAAAAAAAAAATCGACAGGTAAGCAAACCATATAAAGTAGATCTCTTACATTTCAAAAAATTTATCCTTTTTAAAAAACACACTTTAATACACTGAATATTTTCTTGTATTCCAGTAATTGTCTTTCTGGGAACTGGGAGACTAGGATCATTTTGAACTGCTCTCCATAAACTGTTTTTTCATGCCATAACAAATACATTATTGTTTTAATAATAGAACGATTAACTCAGAGTAGGACTAAAGCTGAATTACTCCAACTCAAGAAGCGAGCCAGGAAGTTCAGAATAACGCAGACAGTATCCACTTAAGTCAGAACCTCAGAAAAATGCACCCGGGTGTGTCAGAATTCATTCTGCACTTTTGGCTCTTTCCTGTTTGTCTTTTTCAAATCTAATAGTATCTCTATATTTGATTTCCTTTTATGGAGGGCTCTAAAACAGATTATTTACCAAAGAGACTAATGCAGACTTTTCCAAAAGGTCATTCAAATGAATAACATTTGGCTATTTCTACTTTCCTATCATAAAGATCTATAGGAAAGTAATAAAGGACCAATTTCCCCACAAAGAGAGTCTATTAGAATAAAAGTTCATTTACATATTTGAACCTCTCATGGAGAGTATTTATCAAATGAACATCCTCTCTCCAGACTCTCAGGGCTGCTAAGTAGTTGGCAATATTTAGCATGTAACTATACGTTTTTCGTTACAGTGAATCTTTTTCTCCCCAGAATTGTGAGAGAAGGATGTGACCCTATAGGAACAGAGCAATGCGTTTGATTTCACACATAAAGGGCCACTTAGAGAAGAATTTGATTCAAGTGGGTGTGGACATGCTTCTTGTATTAGGCCATCAACCTGAACTGTGAAGATTTTCCCTTTGTATTATTGACTTTTCGTTTCAACAGGAAGATGAACATTTCCCGACTGCTGTCACACATCAAGCAAGCCTTCGGAGGCTGAGAGGACTGACATTTCAAAATACTCAGTCAGGAGCTAGTCACCTCTTCTCAGCCTTACTGGCTCTAAATAGGAGGTGAACGCTGAAATGTGGCACAGGTTCAGAAAATCACAAATCATGCTTCAGGATGTCTCTATAATTCTATCATTAAAGTGACAATTATTACCCAAAATAGCTCACTCTGAAGGTTTCAATGATTCTTACGGCAACATTTAATGACAATGATCCTAAAGTCTTACTCTTCAATTACATACATGCACATATATTCTTTTGTCATTTATTTGTAGAAAAACTATAGAGAAATGTGACATCATTCAGTACTGCAATGCAGCCATTCTTGAGTGAGATGGATTCCAACTTTTTACAACTGTCAAGAGAGGAACTATCCAAAGTAGATACAATTATGAGAAGTGAAAGATTAGAAAATAAGAGGAATTTAATTATCCACACTAGAATTTGACAGATTCAGGGCCAATCACTCTTTTTTCAAAGTAAAATTGCATGTAAGATTTGGGATGGCTCAAAATAGCCTCCAAATAGTCCTCTGTTTTATGTATCTAGTAAAAGACAGTTAAGCTGATGTCTGCCTAATTATCTGCGCACCCTTGCAATGTTCTTTACTTACATAAAGTTCCAAATATTTACTTTATAAAGTGTTGCCACAGAAATAGTAATCTAAAAATATAAAGCCACTTCTGACTAACCCAAGAAAACTAGTAATGTCCTTGACCGATACCTTCATCCTAATCTGAATTTAAATATTTTGATTATGAACGTATTATACAACGTCACGATTTGTTAACAATACACAAAGAAAAATGAATTAGCCCAAACACAACGTACAATCTATTTCTCTGCCATTATAAATAAATCATTATTAAAATTATAAAAAGGAACATTTTCAAAGTACAAGAAACAAACATAATTAGATTTACTCTATTCTGAAGGTTTAGGAAAGAGTCAACATAGTTCACTTTTCAGTCTAGTAAATTCAAACAGTGATAACATATAAGGACTTCAGCTTGTATTTTTGGTTCACACTATGCAATGCAAAGGGGATCTTTTACTGCTAACACAACCAAAAGCAAACAGTATTTTAAAAGTTTCATTGTCCAAATATATTACTGCATTAATCGTACATAATCAGTAATATATGAATTCATTTTGGGAAGCTGGATCAGAGAACTATATGAATGCAATTCATTCAAAACATACTATCAGAGAGACAGAAACAGTTCACATCCTTCCTCTGTCTTCCCACTAATCTTTTGAGTTACTAGGCAGTCTGGAGAAGTCTGCTACTGCTCTCTACAGTTTAAATGCATCCACTTCTTAATTACAGACAGTAATTGACTTTGTTCTGCTCCATTCCAGTCACTCACAGGAAAGCAGTTTCAAAGTCTTTGACTGGTAAAGCCCATTTAATTCAGGTTTCTCAATCCACTTTTTTACATTACCTCTTTAGGTTTTCTGATAAATGGTTTGCTGAATCATATTTGCACTTTGAACAATCGAATTTTCAACACTCTTGGGAAAAAAAGACATCAGTAAAGAACGTTAGCTTTGACTAAACCTTTTGATTGAACAATTCCTGATGACAATCTAAAGTGATGTAGAACTAATAACAGACATGAAAGATTTGATATTAAGCCATGCTAATGTATTCTTCTTATATCACATTTTGCCTAAGTGACAGATGCCGGGGTGAAGCGAATGAAGGAAGAACTTACAGAAAACAAGACAGGTTTAGGCAGGACCTGCTGGTCTCTGTTTTGCCTGGAAGCCTACTTCAGCCAAATGTCTCTGGAAATCCCTCCTCTCCACCAAGTTGTATTTTGAAAGGATATATTCTGGCAACAAAGCAGTCTTAGTGAAATGTGCTAGAGTTGTCAATAACAGATATCTTTAACTACCTGTCTGGGGAAATTTGTCACAGACTTTTTCATGCTAAGGATCTGTCTGAATTTTTACTGGTAACAAATGTATGCTTAGGAAATTATACCAGCATATCCACTGGGCAACATGCAGAATAGACACATCCCCTAAGGGTCTTTGGTATTAATTTAACGATAGTTTTCCCTTGGGCTAGGAACCTTGGTCTATGTCCTGTTGTGGTTCCTCTGAAGATGGAGACAGGTATATCTCAAACTCCACTGATAAGAGATGAGGAGAGAAGAAATTTATTTTTTAGGCTTTAATTAACAAATGGAGTATTGTTATGCTAATTTAAAACATCTTAAAGAAGTTTTAACAAGTAGCATTTATGTTTATTTAAATATTGCTCTTTTCAATATTGTCAATTAAGCACTGCCCTTGTCAATATGCATTCTGACATTTCGTCTTTCCCATGTTAGATTTTAATTTAAATTACAAATTAATATGTAGAATGGCATTTGCACTATTAAAAATTTCCATACTTTGATTTACCAGAATAGAAACAAAATCTTTTTAGAACTTTACTTTTCTTTTCTGATTGCAAGAATAATTGAATTTATTGCAGAGAATTTGGAAAAAATAAAAATAATGAAAAAGCAGATTAAAATATTCATAGTTCCACAGAGCAAACATTGTAGACATTTTAATTTAGTTATTGCCAGTCTTTTATAAATAATAATCAAATATATATGATAATGGTCAATGGACAACTTTATGCTATAAATAGATACCTCATTAGTAAAACATATTTAGTGGTTAAGTATTGTTGGCTACTTTCATGCCAATTGACCTCAAATGCATGCTGGGAGACTATCGAAGGTGCAAGAGATAATGAGTGACATGTATTTCCCTCTTTGATAGTGGCACCTTTCCTATTGCAGAATAAACCCCACAAATAACTCTTTGTTTAGGAGACTGAGAGAATATGTTTCTGACTGAACATCCCCCTAATCATCAAGGACTGATTAAGCATCCATTAAGTGCAAAGCACATTGCTAGAAGCTAGGGATACACAATTCCCACCCTTAAGAGCTCACAATCTGTTTGGATAAATAGGACATATGCATTTAAAGATAAATAACAATAGAAAGTGGCTTATACTATATCCCAATGTGAGTGGCACAGACAATGCTCGTGTCAAGATTTCAGAGGAGGAAGTAATTACTGCAGACACATTTACATCATGGAATTATGCATAAACTATTGGTCATAATACGTTATTCTTTTAAGGTTGATTGTACCAGAACTTTAGTATATTAAGGATATGAATACTACCACTTGGTATGCAAAGTGATATCAGCTTTAATGATCTCAAAGCACATAATAAACATTCTTAAAATGCAGCTTCCCTCCAGTATCATAAAGTAATTTTGCAAATGAAGAAAATGAAGCAAATGAGGAAAATGAGAATGTCATTCTATCAAATTGGCATCATTTTAAATGATAGAATTAAGAGATTACAAAGACCTTGATTTCTAGTTCACTAGGCCTCAGCAAACAGTTGTGTACAGTCAAGGACTCTGTGGGTATGGAGAAAGGACCATGATGGTTTGGTTTCAGTTGTGAAATTTGGAATATAGACCTTAGACAAAAGTTGCTTGTTTCTTTACTGTTATATTAAAGATAGCACAACATTAAAAGATCACCCAACATCCTTACTCAGATGTTTTATTTTTTTTCTTCTCAAAAACAACCACTACTGGGGCTGGCACCATGGCCTAGTGGTTAAGTTTGGCGTGCTCCACTTCAGTGGCCCAGGTTTAGCTCCTGGGCGTGGACCTACACCACTAGTTGGTGGCCATGCTCTGAATGATCCACATACAAAACAGAGGAAGACTGGCACAGATGTTAGCTCAGGGCAAATCCTCCTCAGCAAAAAAAAAAAAAAAAACACAAAAAAGGGGGCTTGCCTGGTAGCGTAGCAGTTAAGTTCGTGCACTCCACTTTGGCGACCCGGGGTTCACAGGTTTGTATCTCGGGTGCTGACCTATACATCGCTTATCAAGCCATGCTGTGGTGGCGTCCCATATAAAATAGAGGAAGATGGGCATGGATGTTAGCCCAGGGCCAGTCTTCCTCAGCAAAAAAGAGGAGGATTGGC